TGCCGGTCCCGGTCCGGTACGGGCGCGACACTGAGGGACACGAAAAAAAGACAAAAAGGAAAAAAACCAAAACAAAACAAACAAACAAACAAACAAAAAAACATAAATTAAAAAATGAATCCACCGTCTTCTTAAAATCCCTGATAGAGGTTGATGAAAAAAGAAATTAGGCCACAAGGAGTTAAAGGAAAAGTTCTTGGGTCTTTAGGGTGGTGGGAACTCTACTTCTTGGGCATTTGCCCCAGCTCTTTTTCCTCTCTCACCAGCATTCAATAGCTGCAGCGTGAGTGAGAGACAAGGGACGTTTTGTGGAGCCCAGAAATAAATAAATAACTGCCTGTCCCAGGTCACCACGGCAACCGTGACATCACCCTCGAACCCGCGTGGCTGGCACTATTGGTGGCTTACTGGTGTTTGTTAAAGCCGCAGGGCAGGAAAGGGCCTGGCAGCAGGTGGGGGAGGAGAGCACCCTCTGCCAGGGACTTGGTTTCCCACCTTGGAGAAAGGCACTCACCGCGTCCCTTCACAGTTGGCCACTGCCCCCCAGCCTAGATAGTGGGAGTGGAAACTGGCCTCCTTGGGAGCTTTTGGGCACAGTCTATCAAGACAAACACTGTGTGTACCTGTGTTAGTGTCCCAGGGCTGCAGAAATAGATTACACACACTCATGGCTTAAAACAACACATATTTATTCTCTCACACTTCCAGAGGCCAGAAGTGCAAAGTCAAAGTGTGGACAGTGTTGGCTCCTTCTGGAGGCTCTGAGGGTGAGTCCCTTCTGTGCCTCTCTGCAGCTGCTGGTGGCTCCAGTGGTCCTGGGTGCTCCTTGGCTTGTAGATGCATCATCCAAGTTCTGCCACCGTGGTTACATGACCGTCTTCTCCATATGTGTCTCTGTCTTCATATGACATTCTCCTCTCTAGGTCTCTTCTTCTTATAAGGACACCAGTCATATTGGATTAGGGGCCCAACCTACTCTGGTGTGACTTTATCTTCACTAATTACATCTGTAATGATCCTATTCCCCAATAAAGTCACATTCTGAGGTACTGGGGATTAGGACTCCAGCATATGAATTCTGGGAGGACACGGTTCAACCATAACACTATTTTCGTTATTACTTATTATTTAATAAGCCAGTCTTGACCACTGACAACTTCCTGGGCCACCCGTGAAGAAGGTGGGCTGAAAGACTGGTTGTTCTGGACTCCTGGGGAGGTTTTGGTGGCGTCTGCACCTCCAGGGGTGAGTCCTCCATTTTTTCTGTGACCATAAGTCCAGCTTTTAATCTGCCCTTGCGAAGGTGCTCAGACCATAGGAGATGGAGCACTGGCTGGCTCAGTCCAGAAGCCCGGCCCCGGGACTTACTGACTGGGGGGGGGTTGTCTTAATTTTCTCATCTGTCTAATGGGTTCAGCATAACCCTAGCCTTGGAGTCTTGTGACCGTGAAATCATGTGACCATGGAGTCACTTGATCATGACCATGACCATGGAGTCACAGCCAGATGCAAGCAGAGAGTAGTCATCAGAGCAGTTGGGTGGGAGGACCTTACTCGGGTCCCTGGACTCATCCAGGTGCCAAGAGGGCCAGCATAAGAAAAGCAGACCCCAAGAGTCCCAGGGAAAGTCACAGAGTCAGTGCCTGGCAGACCCCTCCTCCAGCCTTCGCTCCTGCTCTACCCACATCAGCCTACATGAAGCCAGCATATAGGATGTGCTCCATGGATGCTCCAGGAACTGTACTAGCATGGGCTCAGCAAGCAGAAGGTGCTCAATGAATGATCCAGGGACTACTCGAATCTGACACCAGCATACAGAAGCTGCTCAATAAGTGCTTGTGAACTGTACTGCGTTGAGCCCTTTGTTCTGAACTCCATACCTGTTTCTTATTTTGGGGAGTCTACAAAGAAATAATTGGGACCTGGGGGAAAGAGTTTTTGGTATGTTTTAGTGGAGATTAACCCCATCTGGTGGACAATACTTGGCAGAGTCCCAGGTGAACTGGCCACTCACCTGATTCTGAGCCTGTGTGGGCAGAGGAAGTGAATGCTGCCAAGCTGGTCCTGCCTGTAGACCTAAGAGTCAGGTGTGTGCACATCCTACCCCCAAGCTCTTGGATGCCTCTTGCTGCCCAGCCAATCCTTGCGTATCTTGCCAGCCTGACTTAAACACCCCTGCACAGAGTCATGTCATGGCAGAGCCAGGCTTCTGAGCCAGCCAGGCCTGGGTCGAGTCCTGTCTCACCTGGTGGTCTCGCTTCCTAACCTTCCTGCACCATAGCATCCCCATCTGTAAATGGGTAGTAGCTCCCCACAGTGCTCCGGTGAGGATCACACAGAAGTGATGATGCTTCGAAGATTCCTAAAGACATCAAAACATCAGGAATGTTTATTTTTAAGATAAAGCCACCTGGCAGTTCCACATATGGATCTGAGCCCAGCAGAACTGAGTGCATATGTCCATCAAAAAATGTGCGCAAAAATGCTCATGAGGACCTAGCAATCCCTTTTCTGGGTATTTACTCAAAAGATTTGAAATAGTTTATCTAAGAGATGACTGTGCCCCCGTGTTCATTGCAGCACAGTTCACAATAGCCGAGTTATGGCATCGACCTAAGTGTCCATCAGCAGATGAATGAAGAAAGAAAATGGAGCATATATACACAATGGGATACTATTCAGTCTTAACAAAGAAGGAAACTCTGTCATTTGTGACAACGTGGATGGAATTGGAGAGCATTATGCTAAGTGAAATAAGTCAGGCACAGAAAGACAAATACCGCATGTTCTCACTTATGTATGGAATCTAAGACAATTAAACTCATAGGAGCAGAGAGCAGAATGGTGGTTACAGAGGCTGGGAGCTTGGGGGAATGGGGAGACCATGGTCAAAGGATACAAAACTTGTTAGACAGGAGGAATGTGTTTGTTTCTTTTTTTGAGTTCTATTGCACAGCATGGAGAATATAGTTAATAATGGAGTACTGTACATTTCAAAATTGCTAAGAGTAGATTTCGCATGTTCTCACTACAAGAAATGTTGAGTATCTGAGGTGGTGGATATGTTAACTAGCTTGATTTAATTATTCCACATCGTATTCATAAATTATAACATCACTTTATACTGCATAAATGTATACAATTATAGATGGTCAATTTGCAATAAAAAATGTTCATGGGCAGAGTTATCCATTATAGCCCCAAATTGGAGTGTTCACCTACAGTAGACTGAATGAATCATATGTGGTATAGTGATCTAGTGGAATACTATACAGCCCCGAAAAAACCCAATGGCAGTATCCAACAATGTGGAGGAATCTAACAAAAATCACATTGAACACATGGAAGCCACACATAAAAGAGGGTGTGCCATATGAGGCCACGTATTGAACATTCACAGTTGAAGAACAGGCTAAATTAATCCTTGATGACAATGTCAGAAGGTGGTTTCCTTGGGGGAAAGGTACCCACTGGGAGGGGCATAAGGGCACTTTCTGGGGGGCAGGAAATGAACTATAGTTCCTCCTGGGTGGCGGTTCCATGGGTGCGTGTGTGTATAAAACTTCACCAAGCTGTACCCTTGGAGAGCTGTTCTATACGTGTTATACTTACAGAAAATAAAAACTAGAAGGTGAAGAGAATGTCACATGCAATATGTAGTAAAGTTTTGTGACAAACAGCACTGGGGATTAGGCACAAAATGTTGGGTAGTCCAAAAACATTTAATAATCAGAAAGAGGGAGGGTGGGGAAGATAGGGGCCAGGAGGGGGCTCTTTTCCCACTGGTAGGGGTGAGGTCGTCAGGTCTTCTGGGCATTCTGCCCAGAGCTGTGTCCTAAGCCCAGCTTCCTGGAATTCTGCTTTTCTTCCAGGTTCATGAACCACCGAGTCCCTGCCCACAAGAGGTACCAGCCCACGGAGTATGAACATGCGGCCAACTGTGCCACCCATGCTGTGAGTCGGCTCTTGGGGGGCTGAGATGGGGACACTTCTAAGTGGGGGCGGGGAAGGCAACCTCTTCACCTGTGGAGAAATTCACCCTATCCTGAGTGGCCTATTCCTCAAATCTTCCATGACCCTCAGAAGAGTGAGTGGGATCTCAAGGGAAGGCCATTGGGGTAAATTGGACGGTGGTGCTAAGCGTGCCTCTCTGTTGTTCTAAGAATCTTCAGTGGCTCCCTAGTACCTAGTATGGCATCAGTCACTCTAGCAAGCTCCCAGCCAGGCCCCAGCCCCTCCGTCGCCCAACTCCCATGGCCACGCTCGTGCCCTCAGTCTCCAGCACTCAAACCACTCGCTGTTTCCCAAACAGAAGCCATGACCACATGCCTTTGCACATGCTGTTCCCTCCACCTGGAATACTTCCATCTCCACCCAGCCTCGCCTGTGCAACCCTTTTCACCTTTTTGGCCTTGCCAAAATATTCCCCCAAAAGCCTTCCTGTCTGCCCAGCTGCTGGGGAGCTCTGAGCTGGTGCCCACCTTCCTTCCCCAGCCGTTGAAGCCCTCACTGCCCTGTATTGTGCCTGGCTGGAACGCACCCGTCCGTCGCCTATTCAATCAGCAAACAGTCCCTGGATACCCTTGATGTACCAGGCACTGCTCCAGGCCCTGGTGATGCAGATGTGAGTTTAAACCGAATCCCTGCTGGGGACTCTTTGGTATCTCAGGACATCGCAGTGTGCCTGGCACAGAGGAGGTGCTCAGACAGTGTGTGTGGAGGTGAATTGAATTCTCAACCTTGCCTCCCTCTCTTAGACCTCAGGGGCTATTATGTGTTTGGCACGAGCCCAGGCCTTCAATGGTGGGCTGCAGGTATAATAAAAGGAGGAGCTGGTGCTGATTTGCACTTAACATAGTGTGTGCCTGGCACCACTCTGGGTCCTAGGTTTACTTTTTCTTAGTCTGTCCCTTTAGAACAGGAACTCTACTGAGTAGAGACTGGTTCTCACTGGTTCACCTCAGAAGCCCCATGCAGTGTCCATAGTAGGGACTCTAAAAATATTTAAGAAAAGATCACATGACTCTGTTCTGCAGAGGAGGAAGCTGAGGCTTGGGTCAGAAGTCTTGCCCAGAGTCACAAGCTGACTCATTGTCACAAGTCTATACCCCAAAGAGCAAAGCTCTAGCAAGAGAAGACCTGCTTTTGAACCCCACTTCATCTTCAGTGGCTCCGAGCCTCAGTTTCCTATCTGCAGAAGGGGTGTCGTAGGAGCCACACCATGGCAAGTGCCCTTACCCCCTGGCACATTCACCCGTGCTTCCGGAGAAAGAGGTGCAGAATCGATTCTGCCGTCATCCCGGGGGGAGCTGTGAGGCTGAGAAGAGACCCCTATCTAGGATCTGCTCTGGGCACTCGTGCTGTGGACACAGCCGTATCCATACTCCAGCTCCAGGAGGAGGGCGGAGCTGGATTGCAGGTGCTGGATGCTCTATGTTAACACATTTATTGGACACACTCTTAGTACCTATGAGCACACAGTGAGGGCAGGGTGATGGCACATGCGTTTTGTATCGTTTCATTCCTGAGGACATGTCCTGGGCTCACAGGTTTGTGGAAGGAATGAATGAGTGAGCGAGTGAGTGAATACTAGGTACTGTAGGTGGTTACAAAATAGCACAAAGCATAATAAGGATCTACAGTCTAATGAGAACTCTGTCCCCAAATGGCAAAGTAGCATGAGATAGTTGCTATTTATTTTTCAAGGTGATATACTAAGATTAACAAAAGTAATTTTTAAACGTTTGTAATTCTGTCCCCTTCATCAACGCTCCTGTCTTATCTGTTGCTATTCAGTCCGCCATGTGCAGACGTACCATGGATGGCCGATGGCTTCTGTTAAGGGACTGTCCTTATGTTGCATGTACGTTGCTGTTGACCCCTCCCCATCCATCACCCGGCCTGGTCCACACCAGGTGTTGGTGAGGCTGGCAGGACACCTCTTTCCTTTTGGAGCTTACTTGGGCTGATTTTGCAGATACTTTTCTGTGAATCCTGGAAGAAGCCCAGTGTTGGGGCTGGATTCCCCACCTACCTACTTCTTTTCTCCATCTCTCCACCCATCCATTCATTCATTCATTTAGTATATATTCATTAAGTGTGTACCACGGGCTGGTAACACTGTGGAGCTCATGTGTGTGGGGGAGTCAATTAACACATAAGTCTATAAATTGTGGGGACTGCCACAGAGAGAAATCATAACGTGCTACGAGAGCAGATAGTGGGAGGGACCTATGTCATTCAGAAGGGACAGAGAAGGTGCTTCTGACCGTGAAGGATGACAAGGAGCCAGCCACCTGAAGAGTGGAGGGAACAGCATGTCCAGGAAGAGGGAACAGCATGTGCAAAGGCCGACGGATAGGAAAGAGTTTGTCACGTTGGAACATCTGGATGAAGGCCAGTAAGGCCAGAGCGTGGTGACCCGGGGGCACAGCAGAGGGATAGTGGGGTGAGGCAAAGTTTCAGGGCTGAGTGGGGCCAAATCATGCACCTGGAAAGGCAGAGGATTTGGGGATTCCATTCTCTACAGCCAACCGTGACAGATCGTCCGCTATTTAAACCCAGTTATGAATTGAATGGTACCCGGGCATCCGTGCTGTTCTGAGCTGGGCTCTGCCTTCAGGGAACTCTGAGTAGGCGAGGTCAGGGACATCGGTGATGATCGTGTGTGGCATGTGGCACATTAGGCTCCTTTGTGTGGTGTCAGAGTGTGGCTGTGGTGTGGGGGAGCCAGCTGCTCTCTGAGAAGTGGTCCTTAACCATTTGGTGCACGGACTATGTTGAGACTCTAATGAATGATCTAGACCTATGCTGTCCAAGTCAGTAGTCCCATGTAGCTATTGAAATTTAAATTTGAACCCATTAAAATGAAAGAAAATAAGATAATTCGATTCCTCAGTAGTACTGGCCACATTTCAAGTGCCTGGTGGCTACCGTCTTGGACAGGGCAGTCTAGGGAAGAGGGAGGGAGGTGTGCTCAGGGATTCTCTGTACTCCCCTGGATGCCACACAAAAGGCTGGGACCCCGCAGCACCTGTCCCCACTCCTACTTCCAGTTCTGGATCATTCCCAGCATCCTCGGCAGCTCCAACCTCTACTTCCTGTCGGACGATGACTGGGAAACCATTTCTGCCTGGATCTACGGCCTTGGCCTCTGTGGGCTCTTTGTGGTGTCCACCATGTTCCACACCGTCTCCTGGAAGAAGAGCCACCTCAGGTACCTCCTGCCCAGCCCGTGGGAGGGGACATGTGGTGGGCGGGGACCAGGGGCAGGGGCCCACTGAGGGATGAGGCAGGACACTGCAGTTGCCTGGGGACATGCTCAGCTGAGCCAGGAGGGGACCAAGCGGGGGGATGTCTCCTGGGTTGTCTTTGGGGGAAGAACACGCCCTGCCTTGCGCAGGCTGGAGTTGAGTCCCGCCTGGGCAAACCACCTCTCTCGCTGGAGCCAGCCCTCCTTGCAGGGCTCTTACGAGGGACCAGCATCATAACAACTCCCCTCTGGGTGCCACCTCAGCTCCAGGCAGAGATGTCCTTCTCTAATCTTTTCAATAATTCTGCAATGTAGGCACTGGAATTCAGATTTTTAAAATTTTGATTTGTTTTTTTTTTAAATGTTGGTAAAATAAACACATCAATATAAAATTTGCTATTTTAACCATTTTTAAGTAGGCAGTTCATTCTGCACACTTAGTGTGAATTAAGCACATTTGCACTGCTGTGCAGCCATCACCACCATCTATTTCTAGAACTTTCTCATCTTGTACACTAAAACACTATGCCTATTAAATACTAACTCCCAATCCCCTCCCTCAATCCCTGGAAACCACCATTTACCTTCTGTCTCTATGAATGTGATGACTCTAGGAATCTCATATAAGGGGAATCACGTAGTATTTGTCGTATTTCTGACTGGCTTATTTCACTTAGCGCAGTGTCACTCGAGGTTCACCCGGGTCGTAGCATGTAGAATCCCTGTTTTATAGATGTTGATACTCAGGATCAGAAGGTGGTGACCTTGCTCAGGGTCGCATAGCTGGTAATGTCCGTGTCAGAGCTGAATCCAGGATTCCAGGCCCTTCGTGAAGCTGGTTCCACTCCCCTTTCCTGTCCCCATCCTTTCCTTTTCTTTGGACCCTTCTTGAACCCCATTGTATGACTTTCCTGTGGCTGCCTTAATGAATTCCCACAAACTGGGTGGCTTAAACAACAGAAATGTATTCTTTCACAGTCCAGGAGGCCAGAAGTCCAAAATCAAGTTGGCAGCAGGGCCGTACTTACCCCAAAGGCTCTAGGGGAGGATCCTTCTTTGTCTCTTCCAGCTTTCAGTGGCTCCTGGGAAACCCTGGCTTGTGGCTACATCACTCTAATCACGGCCTCTGTCTTCACATGGCCTTCCTCCCTGTGTGTCTTTGTGTCCAAACCTCCCTCTCTTTTCTCGTGTAAAGACACCAGTCATTGGCTTTAGGGCCCACCAGCCTGTGGTGTGACTGTGCCAACCTATAGTGTCCTCATCTATGACACGGTGGATGAAAATAATGGTATCTGCTTTATAAGTAGGATTAAAGAGTTAATGCTCATAAAGGACTTAGAACAGTGCTCTGATTATGGCATGTGCTCTCTACTTGATAGCTATTGTTATTGTCTTAATTTCTAAGAAGACATGCAGTTGAACCACACATAGAATCATTGGTCAAGTTTATGGAGGACTGATGTTTGCTAGACAGAATCACAGTTTATATTAGCTATCTATCGCTGCATAACAAAGTACCCTAAAACATAGTGTCTTAAAATAACGAAACATTCATTACCTCTCAAAGCCTCAGAGGGTCAAGAATTCGGGAGCTTAGCCGTATGGCTTCAGTTCAGGGTCTCTCCTGTAGTCAGATGTTGGCTGGGGCTGCCGTGATCTGAAGGCTGGAAGAGGCTGGAGAGTCCACTTCTGGGGTGGCTCCCTCCCATGGCTGGCAAGTTGGTGCAGGATGTTCGGGGGATGCTCAGTTCTTCCCCACATGGACCTCTCCACAGCCACATGGTGCATTGTTTCCTCCAAAGTTAGTGAATCAAAAGAATAAGGCAGAAGCTGTAATATCTTTTATGATCAAGCCTCGGAAATCACACACCATGATGTCTGCAGTATTCTATTGGTTCCATGAGTTTGCCCTATTTATTGTGGGAGGGGCTGTTCAACGGTGTGAGTGCAGGAGGTGGAGTTTGTTGGGTGACATTTTGGGGCACACCAGTCTTCAAGATGGTGTCATAATGAAGATAGCTAACGCTTATTGAACACTTCTTGTTATGCACCATGCTAAGTATTCACTCATTTAATCCTCACAACCCTGTGATCAGGTTTCTGGTGTCCTTTCTATTTTACGGAGGAGGAAACTGAGACTTAGGGAGGGTAAGTAATTTGTGCAAGGTTATGTAGTCCCTAAGTGATGGGGCTGGGATTTGAACCACTAAGCTCTTCGGACATAGAAAGTCAGAACCCAAAGGGTTTTTAGGGGCACATAACTTTGTAGTTTTGCATGTTTTTAAGCCACAGAATTCTTTCTTCATTTGAAATCTTTTGAAAAGCCCAGTATGAAAAATAGAAATGCAGAGTTGCTCTGATTAAAGTAGGGGAGGGGGATGTCAGGTCTTCGCCTAGGGGAGGGTGTGGAAGACCTTCAGGAGGTCTCCCCATACAGCCCCTAGGGTGAGAGGGAGCCTGGTTTGAACACCACTGCTCTGGTCACTTACACATGGGGAGAACGAGGCCTGAGGGGTGATGGCTGGACAGAGGAGAGTCAGCCCCAAACCCAGTCCACTCCCCACCTGTGGGAAGGCGTGTTTGTCCCAGGGCATGGCCCGGGCTCTCTGGTGCTTCCTGCTGCTCAGGGGCCATGACCTCGGCTTCTCTGCCTGCCCTAGGATGGTGGAGCATTGTCTGCACATGTTCGACCGGATGGTCATCTACTTCTTCATCGCAGCCTCCTACGCGCCCTGGTGAGTATCACTGCACCGCCCGGGAGGGGGCTGGCTTCCTTTCTTTTCCTTGTTTGAATTTATTTTTGTATTTGCCTGGGTAATATGTTGACTTGGCATAGAAGAATATGGTTAAAAGACTCCCTCACTTTATTCTCCTTCTGGGAAGCAACTACTTATTACTTTTCTTGCATATCCTTCTGGAGTTATTTTATACATAAAAGAGCAAATATGTATGTATGTATGCACGTATAAATATGTATCTATAAATATATACATATGTGTA